CAGGCATGTGCCACCATGCCTAGCCCAATTGCTTTGTTGTTACTACTTCAGAGAGGCCAGTTAGGTAGCTTTCAGGTTGTCCCACCTCACTGCCCCCTGGTTTTGCCTTTGGTGAACTGCATGTCTGGGGTTGCATCTTGTTTAAGTGTCTTCTCATTTTCTTTCTTTTTTAAATTTAATTCCTGGGATGATGCTTGTAAACTGCCTATGGTGGGTTGCTTTATTGCCAGTATTTAAAACCCTTAGGAAATGACTATTTCTCTGAGATATCTTCCATTTGTAGCTCATTTTTGGGTTTTGAGTGTTGCAAGAGCCTACCTCTTTAATTTGTTGGGGATGAGAAATTGCTGCCTATTAGGCCCAGCCCCTGGTTCTCTGACACTGTGCATTAGTATTTTCTATGATCCTTAGTCAATGTCAGTCTTGGAATACCAGAAAGAATAGCTGTTTAGAACAATTACGTCACTTTTGCTTAAGTGGTACCATCAGCAATAACAGTAGCATCAACCACAGCCTAGAAAATGACAGACAACCATTAATTTGCCACCTTTTACTGTATGACCTATATTTGTAGTTATATAGCAAAATCTAAGACAGCCCAGAAAATTATATGCAAAATGTATTTCCTTAGTATGTCAATTGTACCCTCAGGGGTTAAAAGTTAAAGGGGTTAAGAACAAAACAGAGAGGTAGAAGAAAAGGAAGAAATTAGAAGTAAGGCTGGAGGACAGCGGGATCATGCTCACTTTGGGAAACTGGTGCAGAAGACCAGAGGGAAAGAGAGAAGGAAGAGATAAAAAGAAGAGAACATAACAACCAGAAAGTGGCTAAAAACCACGTTTACTCTCACATAAAAACAAGATCAAACAATGAAGGAGAAAAAAGACAAAAACAAAACCACCATAACAACAATAAACAAGAGAGGGAAAAAAAGTCCACTTCCAGGTATCTCTGGTAGACAACTTGTGGAGACAGAGTCCCAGTCCATGTTGATTTATCCTAGCAAGCCAGCAGTAGCTTTTTAGCAGGATAGTGGATATCTCAGTGAGCCTGTACCTTGTGACCGAGACCAGACTCATTTGGCCTGCAGCCGTCAGCGCACCTTTTGGGCTTGAGCTCAGCTGGGAGCTGCTAGATGGATCCCACAGCTGCTCTGAGTTTTAAGCTGAGTCGGCCTCTCTCCAAGGTGGCTCCCGGCCAATTGCTCTCTCATGTAGGACAACTGAGCCCTCAGCACACACTACCAGCTAGTGCTGTCCTTCACTTCCACCTGCTCCCCTCTGCTGCGTCTTCTCTCCATGGAAGACTCCATGGAGGAGATTATCCAGTATGAGTCTCTTCTCTTGTGCAGTACTCTTATCTCAGGGAGAAGGCACCACCAGCTACCTCCTTTGTTGAAAATCCTCTCTTTATTCTCCATGGGCTTCAGTTTGGGCTTCAGATTTTTCCTGAGTCCAGGGGACCCACTTCCCTCCTTCTTGTCTTCCTTACGGCAACACTCGGAGAAGCTCATTCGCTGCTGTTCACCACTCCACCATCTTGGTGCCTCCTCAGGCCTGCAACTTGCTTGCTTCCTTCCTTCCTTCCTTCCTTCCTTTCTTTTTTGAGACGGGGTCTTGCTCTGCAGTTCAGGCTGGCCTTGAGCTTGCTTTGTGGCCCAGGCTGGCTTCAAACTTGCAACAGTCCTGCCTCAGCCTCCTGAGTGCTGGGATTACAGGTGTGCCCCACCACACTCAGCTAAGCCTGCAGTTTTTAAAGGCTGGCAGTCTAGTTGTTGGCAAGGCTATGGAGCAACTAGAACTCTCCTAATTGCCAATAAGAAGGGAAAGTGCTGCAACCACTTTGTTTTTCTTTTATTTTGTTTTGTATTGTTTTGTTTTTTTGAGACAGGGTCTTGCTATATGGGGTAGGCAGTCCTCCTGCTTCAGCCTCCTGTGTGCTGAGATTACAGGTGCACCACCACGCTTGGCCTCTACTTTTAAACTAATTTGGTACTTTGGAAGTAAGGAGAGGGATGGCACGATCTTACTGTGTAGCCCAGACTGGCCTCATGTTCACTGTGTATCCTAAGCTGGCCTTGAACTTGCAATCCTTCTGCCTCAGCCTCCGCAAGTGCTAGGATTATAGGCTGGTGCCATGCTGCCTGTATGGCACTTTCTTAACGGTTGTGTTCCAGAAGTCCTTTTGTGTCACAAAGACTTGTATATGAACATCCACAACCACTTTTCTCAAAAATAGACCCAAGCTGGAAATTGCACAGGTATCTCATAGAAAGACATAGAAAGAGTGTTATAACACATTGCTGTGTGTTCATACATTGGAGTGTTGCTCAGTAGTAGCAATAAACAGACCATTGACAGATGTAACCACATGGATTAATCCCAGCCCTCCTGAGCAAAAACAGCCAGATACAAAGAGGCCATGCTGTATGATTCTTTGTATATGCATTCCAGAGCAAAGCCAACACGTAGCAGACTGATATTTTTCTGCAATAGGGAGTTCTAGACGAGAGAGTTGACAGTCATACAGTGGAACTACTGAGGCTTATGAAAATATTCCTGTGTTGAGTGGAGTTTGGTGATCCTTGTAGGTACTTTGTCAAAACTAATCCAACTATTCGGTTTTTTAAAATGGAAATATTTAGCCAGGTGTGGTGGGATATGCTGTAGTCCCTGCACTCTGGTAGGCTGAGGCAGGAGAACCACAAGTTTGAGCCGAGTTTAGGTAACTTAGCAGGACTTTGTCTCAAAATTAAAGGGCTGGGATGTAGTTCATTGTGAAGGCCCTGGGTTTAATTCTCAGTACCCGCCCCCCTGCCCCATGTAAATCATACCTCAGTAAAGTTTGCTTAAATGAATGCAGGTAGAGGCAGCCTCTCCTAATGCAGGAAAGCCAAAGCAGGAGCTGTTGGCCCGGGCAGGCTCCCTGAGCCTCCCTTGACTCCCTCCTCCCTTTGCACGTAGTTTGTTGTGACAGGAGTGTGTGAGTGGGCAGGAAAAGTGAGCACTCAGAATACTGCTGTCCAGGGCCTTCTGGAAAAGGGCCTTGTTGCATATCATTTAAAAAAGCAGTTTCATTGTTGTGTTGGTGAATAAGAAAAAAATTAATGCAAAGAGAGATTCACCTAGATAGAAAGCTTAGATCTTTAAAACTTTAAACTTCAGATTAAAATCTAAAACTTCCGTACCAATTTTCAGGGGGAGACTTCAGAATAGTATTATATCATGCAACAAAGCTTAACTTTGCCTGTACTTCTAATTCCAGAAGATAGGAATGGTTTTGTAAATTCTGGATCCCTTCCATCCTAATCAACCTCCCATCTCTTTTAAAGGATATTAATTCTAGTACTTAAAAAAATTTGTTACTCTTAGAGAAAAATGAGACAGTTTGACCCCATTGTGTTGCTCACATTTTTGGATGCTGGTGATTTGCACTTGCTCAAATCTCTTGTGAATCTTGCTTCCTGTGTTTCCTGTACCTATGTGAGAAGCTCCCAGCCAGGACGGAGATGCTGGTGGGAGAGAAATGGAACAAGGCATATAACTCCCAGAGTCAGGTCTGTGGTAGTGTCATGTTCTGACTCCATAAGCAAGTCACTTACAGATGTTACCTGAAAGCTCTTCCACAAGAAATAGCCTATATACCCTTTAAATTAAGGTTTAGAGTCTAGAGGTATCCCCTGGATGTTACAATTAGTGTTTGAAGGAAGCATTGCAGATACTTGTGCTCAGGCATTTCCTGGGCCTGGTCCTTTTCACCTGGCTTGCCCAAAGCTGTCACTACTCTGTAATTGGTGGTGATTTTGTTTAGTATTCCTTTCCTTAGCCATTTTGGACTTTTTGTCATGTTCCCATGCCTAGATATGTGCCAAAGCACCGAAAAGAATTAGCAGATATTGGTCAAACATCCTTTATATCTTTAACAGATGTAAAGGACATTGCTAAATGGCTTTATCAATGGAGAGCTTAATGGAATTAATGCTTTTACATCAATGAGACATTTCATTGATGCTTTTGCATTCATCCTTGACCATATTCAACGTATAATTCTAACTGTTGTAGTCCTTTTCATCCATGAAAATTGCAATGTAAAGTACAATCCTGCTTTTGTATGTCTACACATTTCAGGTTCACTTATTTCCTTGATTTGCCTAGAAGTAATGATTTTTTTTTTTGGTACTGGGACTCGAACTCATGACCTCAGGCTTGCCAGGCAAGTGCTTATGCCACTGTGCTACATCCCTGGCAAAGTAATGATTTTTAAAGCAGATATGATGGACTCCTTTCTCATGCCGTGCAGGACTTAGCTGAAGGTGGTTCAAACTGAAGTGCTTGGTGAGGGTCCAGCACCAAGTACATTATAGTATTGAGGTGAGAAGCATCTGTGCAAAGGAAGCCTTCAGTGATAACTACAAGAAAAGAGGGAACCTTGTTCATGGCTCCTTCCAATATAAAATTTAATTGTTGGCTTTTCCATCTCTTAAATATCAAACATTAAAATTATAGAGAATAAGCTGGGCATGGTGGTACTTGCCTGTATCCCTGCACTCTTGGAAGCTGAGGCAAGAAGATTGCAAGTTTGAGCCCACTCTGGGTAGCTGAGAAACTTATCAAGATCCTGTCTGAAAAGAAAACATAAGGGCTGGGGATGTAGCTCAACACAGCGGCCCTGGGTTCAACCCACAGTGCTGTGAAAAAGGAAAACAGAGTGAAATTGTGTTTCTGATTGTACAATGTACGAGTTCTGGAATCCCACCAACCTGGAGTTGAATTCAAATTCAAATCAGGGTCCTGCTCTGGGTACCTCTCATCTCAATAAATTACTGCCCTTTGAACCTCTGTGAATCTGGAATAGTGGCACCTGTGTAACCTACAGTGACTATATCAAGCACACCAAATGATGTTTGTGAGATATTAACCCCAATCCAGGCCTAGAATCAACACAGCAGATTTAATAGTTGTGTGAAAGGTCATGACGAGATTTTTCATTTTCCTTTCAAGGTGAGTCTGGTCTAGGAAAATCAACTCTGATAAACAGCTTGTTCCTGACTGATCTCTATCCAGAAAGAATCATACCTGGAGCCGCAGGTAACTATTTTGAGTATAACTATGTGTAAGTTGCTAAACAGTGCATAAATAATATTTTTTTGTCTTAAATATTTATTCTGTTCTTGGGTTTACCTTGAACACAGGAAAATGTCACCTAGGAGAGGTGTACTTCACCTGAGGCTCTGGAGTCTTGGTCGTAGAATTTGATACATTTGCATGTGTCCCTCCTTTCTGTGAATTTTTGTTTTTGTTTTTTTCCAGTACCAGGAATCGAACTCACGACCTTGCACTTGCCAGGCAGGCGCTGTGCCACTGAGCTAAATCCCCAGCCCCTGTTTCTGTGAATTTATGTATAGTTTCTGGTGTACTATACAGTGGGTAGGAGGATCAAGTGAGGGATTTATGTTGTTAAAATTGCTGTTTATAGGTGGGAAGCCAAGGCAGGAATGCTGCAAGTTCAAGACCTCCTTGTGCTACATAGTGAAACCCTGTCTTAGTAAACAAAACAGCTATGTACATAGAAAATAACTGTGGAAATTAATGTCTGAATGTTCCAGTAAAGGATACAGCATCCATAAATATTTGATCACCGAGTGGGTTGAGCACAAAGTTGGAGTCTGGGTCTAAGGCTACCACAATAAGGGAAGACAGTTTTTTCACTAGCTTTTTATTTTTATTTTATTTTATTTTATTTTTTGTCTTTTTTTGAGACAGGGTCTCACTGCACAGTTCAGGCTGGCCTTGAGCTCACTTTGTAGCCCAGGTTGGTCTTAAACTCCCGGTGATCCTCCTGCCTCAGCCTCCCAAGTGCTGGGATTACTGGTGTGTGCCACTATGCCCAGCCTTCACTACCTTTTTAAATTCAAGCATTGATGTAGTTCAGTGGCACAAGTGCCTGCCTGGCAAGCATAAGGTGCTGAGTTCAATTCCCAGTGCCAAAACAAAATAATACATTCATACATTGTTTTCTTTATCCCTCAAACATTATAATTTTTATTAGCATGTTTAACCTTCCCCCAAGATACGTTTTTTTTTTTCCTTTTTAGACAGGGTCTCGTTTTGATTTTTTTTTTTTTTTTTTTTTTTTTTTGAGACAGGGTCTTGAAGATACGTTAATCTTAACATTGAAATTTCCCTTAATGTCTCTGGTATCCTTTTACACAATCCCTGTGCTCTCCTGACACATTTCTGCCAAAGAGAGGCAGTGATCTAAGTTGTTTGTTGTGAGAACGTTGATAACAAGTATTAGTTTTCTCACTGCTGAGACAAAATACTCCACACCCAAAGTTAAAGGAAGAAAGGTTTTTTAGCTCGCAGTTGGTAGAGGTTTTAGTTCATAGTCAGCTGGCTCCAAGGCAGGATGGCATGGCAAAGGGGCATCTCAGAAGAGAAACATTTCATAGTAGTCAGAAGGCAGCAAAGTAAGCAACAAGCCTCTTTCTGTCCCTTATATCTTATCCAGGCCACCCACCTTTAGGGTGGGTAGCATTCACACCCTTAATCCTAGCATTGCACCCTTGATGCCAGCATCACATACCATAGATCCGGCCACCTCTGAAAATGACTGCGTGAGTCTTTGGGGGTTCATCTAGATATAAGCCATAACATTCTTCCCCTAGCTCTGCAAAGTCTCATGCACTTGATGCAAAAACCATTTAGTCCATCTCTAGGAGTTTACAGAGTCCTAACAGTTTCAGTATTGCTGAAAAGTCAAGTCCAAAGTCTCCTGTGAGATTTAAGGCAAACTCTTAGATATGAACCCTTGTACAAGCGAAAAGAAAGTTAAACACTTCCAAAATACAATGGCACATGGTAAGACATTTTCTTTCCAAAAAGTACAAAGAGGGGGATAGAAAGGAGTGGGAATAAAGCAAGTCCAAAACCCAATAGGGCAAACATAAGTCCTGTGGGTCTGTGTGCAGCATCCCCAGCCATCTGTGGCAGGATGTGAACTCCAGTGGACTTAGGTGGCTCTGCCCCTATGGCACTGCTGTGGCTGTGGCTCCCGTGGCTTCTCTCTTGGGCTGGTTCTGTTCCCTCCTTGCAGTTTTCCAGAAATGATCCACATTCCTGGCCTCTGCATCCTCTGGGCTCTCCACTGCATCTTTTGCTTCACATTCACAGCTTTACATGCTGCCTTCTCCGGGGCACACTGCCTGGTCTCAAAGGCCTTCTTCTAAAATCTTGGTGGAAGTCTTCCTGACCCCACAACTCTTGCATTCTGCATGCACCTAAAACCAGCGCTACATGGATGATACCAAGGTCTCCTGCCAACTGGAGGAGTAGCCAGGCTTCCTTGTCTCTTGCTGTGTCCCTGTGCTCTTCTGAGAACCCTCCTACAAAGAAAGGTAGTGATCTTCTAAGTTGTTCATTGTGAAAACATTAATAACAGGTAGTTTCTCCTCTTTGCACAGTGGCTTAATTTTAAGGTACATTTTCTATTAAGTTTGTTTCTTTTCTAGAGAAAATTGAAAGAACTGTCCAAATTGAGGCTTCAACCGTGGAGATTGAAGAGCGTGGGGTTAAGCTGCGCCTGACAGTAGTGGATACACCTGGCTATGGGGATGCCATCAATTGCAGGGATTGGTAAGCACCCCAGGAGGATGCAGAGCCCCAGAGTGCCTTGGACTCTGCATGTGTTTACTTGGATTTATTTTAATATATTGAAGTTTATAATGTTAATGAGTAGTCATTAGGCAGAGGGTAGTTATATCTAATAAAACTGAAAATTGAAATATTATATATTATTTTAAAATATGATTAAATACATTTTTAATAAATGTTACAGACAAGAGTGTTTTTTCCTAAGAGCATTGTAGTGAGATCTGAGGTGAAAAAGCAGCTCGTGCCAGGCCTACTGATGCACACTTGTAATCTTTGTACTGTGGGAGGCTACAGTAGGAGGATCACAAGTTCAGACCCTGCCTGAGCAACTTAGCAAGACCCTGAAATTGAAAAAAGGATAGAGATATAGCTCGTTGTGAAGGCCTTGTGCTCAATCCACAGGATACTAACACAAACCCACACAAATGTAGAAGCCAACTATCCATAATCTGCCAATTTAAAGGAAACATCTTCATTTGAACTCTGGCTAACAGATAAGGATCTCTTCCTGTAAGAGGAAGTGAAACCGTGCAAGTTGCTTGAGTCAGGGTGCTTGTAAGCACTGTTCATTTGAATTAAATATAAGGGAATGAAGAAATAAAAGAAGGTAGAGCAGCCTGCTCCCTGTTTTACATCAAGAATCCCACTTTTGTTCCTGATTCTGAGCCCATCAGCATAAAGCATCTAGTTTAAAACACTTGGTAAGGAAAGGCAGGAAAGGGAAGGTGCTTGTTTGGCCTTTTCTGTACAGCAGCAGGCTCCTTTTTCACTGTCCCCTGAGTCATGCTGTCCTGCTTGCACCTCACACAATCCTGCTGTGGACCAAGGGTCTCCTGTACCTCTTGTTTTTGGACACTTCATAACCTGTTCCACTCAGGCTGCTGAGTCCCCAGCACTTAAGGAAAGATACACTCAGCACACTTTCCAGAAACCTCCATTTTGCCAAGTTGAGAAGTCAGTCTGTTCTCATTGTTAACATGAACCATTGCAATATGTGTATTTGCTGGGAAGGGGCAAAAAAAATTGTTTTCTCAAAGTTGAGGACTTCTTGTCTTTGTATCCCATGATGACTGCCAAGGTTTGTGTTTTAGTTTTAAGACCATCATCTCCTACATTGATGAGCAGTTTGAACGCTACCTGCACGATGAGAGTGGCTTGAACAGGCGTCACATCATTGACAACAGGGTGCACTGCTGCTTCTACTTCATTTCACCTTTTGGACATGGGTAAGGGATTGCTTACCACCGAAACCTGATTTTCCTTTCTTGTGAGTTTACAAGATTCTCCCAAACTGCATACTGTAATACAAGAATTGAGAAGACTTGAGAGAATAAAAGATTTGTATGCTCTCCCCATTCTTCTCCTAAGTACCTGTATGTGATTGTTCTGCAATTATTTTTAGGCTGAAGCCTTTAGATGTTGCATTTATGAAAGCAATACACAATAAGGTAAACATCGTGCCTGTCATCGCGAAGGCCGACACTCTCACTCTGAAGGAGCGTGAGCGGCTGAAGAAAAGGGTGAGTGCAAGCGGCTGCTGAGTCTTCCACCAGGTGCCAGAGGCAACTGTCTGGAGCAGTGGAAGAAGGGCATTGGCAGATGCTGCACTGCCCAGGTGCCAAGGGCAGGCTGCAGAATTTGCCCTGCTTTTTTCGTTGTTTTTTTCCATTTTGGTTGTGGAATTGAAAAAACCCTAAACCTTGTAGCTTTCGCTAGTTTGCTTTAACATTTTGCTTTCATGAAAGTATCAAATCTCTATTAATTCTCCCTAGATAAGAAGTACCCTCAATTAGTGGAAGTTGGCTAAGTGCAAGGAGATCCCTCAAGTGTTAGGGAAATGAACCAAGTGTGGAAGTATTTCTCCTTCTTGAGGTTCTAATATTATACCCAAATTGATTTAAGGGTATTTTTAAGCCAGGTGTGGTGGCATATGCCTGTGCTTCCAGCACTCAGGAATGCTGAGGCAGGAAGGGCCTGGACTGTACAACTTAATGACTCACTGAATGAGACCCTGTCTCAAAATGAAAAGTAAAAAGGGCTGGGATATACCAGTAGCTCAATATGAAGGCCTTGGGTTCAGTCCCCAGTACTGCAAACACCAGTAACACAGAAACATAGAGTGTACCTGTGCAGAACAATTCCTTGTGTTTAGGTTGTAAAGATGTCTCCCTAGCTGTATGCCAACTGATGTTTTTCACCTCCTGGCTGCTCCAGCAGCTTGACTCTGGTGCCCCGAGTTGGTGCCCTGTCCTGTGCACCTCTATAAAGGCTTTTGTTGATGATGCTGGATATTTTTAAAAGTTATTTAAATTTTAAATAAGAAAATCCAAACAGTCTATACATGCTGACCTCTGAAGTAATTACCCACAGAAACAACCGTTGTTAACAGTTCTGTCCTTCCAGGACATAGCCTATGTATATTTTTATTTTTATAGAGTAGAATCACATCATTATACTTTTTTTTGGAGACAGGATCTTACTGTGTAGCTCAGGCTGGCCTTGAACTTGTTTATGTAGCCCAGGCTGGCCTTGAACTCATGCATACTCCTACCTCAACCTCCTTCATGCTGGGATTATAGGCGTGAATATAAGCCCCATTATATACAGTGCTACTGTAATTTTTATCAGATGCACATTATTCCATAGTATGAATATACTATAATTTGCTTTTTCATTTCCTTGTTGATAAATATCTGGCTCCTTTTTTGTTTTGCTCTGGCCCCCTTTTATCCTGACCAAATTTCCCATTACTTTGCCTCTTGGTGCTCCAGACTCAATATGTTTCTACTTTAGGGCATTTATTGTTAGTAATCCCTTTTTTCTAGAAAATTATTCCCCCAGATAACTAAACTGACTGTGATTTTACTCCTTTCATAGACAACCCTGCAGTACTCTAGCCTACAACGTGAAGCACTTCCTCAGTGCATTCGTGGCTTTTCACTGCTCACCTCTGGTCCCTGAGAGCAGGAATCTTTGCTTTATTTTCTTGTCTTCTAAAAATAGAGAATACTGTAGGCATACAGTTAGGAAGTCAGTAATTGCGCTGTAATGAACCTTGGTACACATCTATCTACTCATAGTTATATAAGTTAAAGAAGTTCTTCAAACAGAAATTAATACATATTTAAATTTTTAAAATTTCCCTCCACAATAAGCTTGTAACAAAGTGTTTCCCCAAAGTGTCATCTGCCCTCCACCTGACTCTTTTGAAACTCTTCTTGATAGGTTATTAGGTTTTGTAAGTGTTTCCCATTGTAGATGTTGGATCTCATTCTGATTTACATCTCCTTGACTGCTGGTGAGTGTGTGTCTGTCCTTGTGTGTGCTGCCCATTGGTGTTTCTTTAGTGCTTTATTACTGACTTACAGATACTTCTTAAATTTTTAAGCATTGGCTAGGTGTGACGGCACATGCCGGGTGAAGCTAAGGCAAGAGAATAACAGTTTTGAGGCCATCCTGGATACCTTGGCCTTAGTAACATCTATCTAAAAGTAAAAAGTCTTAGGCATGTATGTAGCTCAATGGTACAGTGCTAGGCTGTTGTACACTAGGCCCTTGGTTCAATCCTCAATACTGCAGAAAAAGAAAAAAAACAGGTACTTTCATTAATTTAGAGTAGCGGGGATACCAGGGTTAGAAGACTCTAATCGTAATCTCCTATCCAGTATTAAAAGCGTAGAGGACCAGATTACAAAGTCTGAGGTGAACTGAAATACTGTGGTGCGTGTCCCTTCTCATATTTCTTCCCGAGGGCTGCAGGCTGTGCCTTTTCTGAAGAACTTGTGCAGCCTTTCTTCCCATCCTGCCAAGGGGCATGGAGACTTGCAGGCTGTTGCTCACCCTTCCTGTGCCTTGTTGCACTCTGGCTTCTCTCCATCGAACTGCAGTTCTCCTATCACAAATTGCCAGCAGTTCTGCCCTTGGACTGGGCCTGCCTTACTTGGCGGTGGGGCCACTGTGTGTGTTTTGCGCTCTGCCTATTCCATTACCTTGCACCTTCCCAACCCCTTGAGAACAGTATTCCCTAATACTGCTGTGCTCATATCAGCTCTGTGGCTTTTGCCTTTGCCTTCCAAGGATCTTACTTATTCATGTGAGCTGTGTGTGCAGTCAGGAGTATGCTTTCCACCCCATGAGCTCTTGTCCTCCAACTTCCCTGTCTTTAAATGATCCTACAGTTCTGTCACCCAGACTGAAAACATGTTGGTTTGGGCCATCATTTTCTAACTCTTCTTCTCCAGTTTTAAGTAGTCTACTGTGTTAGCTTTTCATCACTGTGAAAAATACTTGAGAATCAGAGAAAATATTTCAGCTGACAGGTTCAGAGGTTTTGGTCAGGTGGCTCTGTTGCTTTTAAGTCTGGGAAGGTGTTGGGAAGGTGCAGGGTAATGGAATAGGCAGAAACATGGTGGAAAGGCATGTCTCAGGGAAGCTGCTCAACTCACGGCAGCCAGGAAGCAGAGACAGAGAGAGAGGAGGGAGGAAGAGAGAGCCAGAGCCATAGAAGGGGGCCAGGGACCAGATCTAGTTCCTAATGTCCTTTACCCTTGATCCACTACCTTCAAGCAGGCTCTACCTTCTGTTTCCATCACATCCCAGTAATGGTATCAAATTATGTCTCATCAGTGGATTGATCATTGCTCAAGTCAGGAGCTGTCATGATGCAGTCCCTTCCTCAAAGCCTGTCAGCACCAAAGCCTTTTAGGGAATTCACAGGTATTTCACATATCTCACCTCTTGCTCACTGAGCCGCCATGCATAGATGTGGGATTGGCGGGGATAAATAGTAGGCCAGGAACCATGAGATAAGGACAGAGAATGAGCTTGTGCTTATTGCTCAGTATCTCTCAAAGATGAAATAGTTCTTCCTATTCAGAAAGGGTTTATAGAGTTTTGGAGTCCTAAATTAAGAAAGACAGATTTTTGGTCATGTAAGATCCAAAAGGACTTTAATCCTTATGATCAAAGAACCAGTCCAGTGCAGAGTGGAGGCCAGGGTGTTTCCTTATCCTTTTCCTTGGCCCTTCCTCTTGGTGGCACAGGTCGCAGTGAGAGCAGGCAGAACTTCAGGCTGCAGTGGCTGCTGGGCTAAGTCTTAATCAGTAGCTTGTAAATGACTGCTTAGTAATATTCCAGCCCAGTTTTTCCTCCTCTAGGCCTGGTTGATGGATCTGATTGAAGGACTTCACTGCTGGTTGCTTGCTACCTGTAAATCAGGAGCCCTAGGCCCTCGCTTGGTGTTCTAGAAACTCTCTGCTTAGATGTCTGAAAGTCTACCTTGTGGATTTATTGTTCTCAAAACACACCTCTCCCCTCCAAGCTGTTCTTAGGGGGCTCTTCTACCTGGGTTGATTCTCCCTCCTCTCGGTCTCATGCCCAGGGACATCTCGTGTGTCTCTCCTGGTCCTGTCCCTTCTTGAGGCTGATTATGGGGTGCTTTTCAGTAAGGCTATTGTGCTAAGGCCATCAGCTTTAGATACTTACAGCTTTGCCCATTGAAGGTGGTAATGTGTTATTGCTAATACTATTGTTATGAACAGAAAAGCTCTTAAAATTCAAGAATAAATACCTCTGTAGCAATTCATAAAATCATTTGAAAATAACTTGAATCAATATGATTCCTTACTGCCTTTGTATAATTCTGATATTTCTTATTAGAAATGAGTTGGACTTGATTAAAATAATATTCACTTTGCTCAGATTGACCCTGGTTTTGTAATTCTTTTAGATTCTGGATGAAATTGAAGAACATAATATCAAAATCTATCACTTACCTGATGCAGAATCAGATGAAGATGAAGACTTTAAAGAGCAAACTAGGCTTCTCAAGGTGAGAACTGGCTGTGGGTGCACCTGTTCACTGTTGCCTATGCATGCATTTCAGAGGGAACACTTGGCAAAGGGCTCGCTTGTAGAGGGTTTAACCTATGAGAGATTGTCTGGGTAGGGTTGGCCAAGAGTAATTTTACTTCAAATATGTTTAGACATAGCTTTCACTGAAGGCCTGGAAATGTTATTACAGGTTTAATTTGTTTCTAATTTGTCCCGTGTGGAAAGTGTCTGACACTTGGAAGTAAAGCATGCGTGCCTTAGTTGTCAGCTAAAATTTGTAATTAATAGCAGTGGGCCAAAACTGTGCTGGTTCTTAGGTTCTTCATAAACATTGGGATTCCCTGTGTGGAGCTCATCTGCCCTGTGTCTCTTTCTAGGCCAGTATCCCATTCTCTGTGGTTGGATCCAACCAGTTGATTGAAGCCAAAGGCAAGAAGGTCAGAGGTCGCCTCTACCCCTGGGGTGTTGTGGAGGTGGAAAACCCCGAACATAACGATTTTCTGAAGCTGAGAACGATGCTCATGTAAGACAGTAGTGTTCCTACCTATGGCTGAGCTGTGGGTGTGCGTGGTCATCATCCTCAGGGTGCATCTACAACACCTTCGTACTGCATGGAGGTAGCCGGTGTTGAGTGGCTAGCCTGGGGTTAGCTTATTCCTCCTGTGGCCTGTAGCTCAGCACATGTTCTTGTGCCTTACTGTCTCCGATTTTGATGCCAGAGGGACACCAAACTAGACCTCCCCTAAGATCCTCCATGTTGGCAAGGAAAGGGGCAGGCCTCTGGTGGGCACTGAGCAGCTGCCCCTGCCCCTCAGCCTTAGTTGTCACTGCATGGTCCCAAGGAGCCTGAGATTTCCATCCATTTTTAGCAGCTGTAACAAGCCTGGCTACCAAAATAGACTTGTTTTAAGAATGAATTTCGTATATAGCAAGATACACGCATTGCTGTTACTCTTAAATAGAGAGGCCAGAGGTTGGTCCAGGGTAGCACCCGCTTGCCCCTGTGCTGCGGCACAGGCTTTGTTGAAATAAAGCCTCACTCCAGTGGTCCTGTTGGAAAAAAGGAGGCTAAAGGAAAGCATATTGCTTAGTACACTTCCTTATTTTTAATTAAAATGTAATTGTACGCATTTGTGTGCAGCAGTATATTTCAACACCTGTCTTCAGCATGTGCTGATAAAGTCAGACTAGTTCTTCATAAGTACACTGCCTTAATAAGAAAAGTACAAGAGCCTGAATAAAGTAATATTTTAGTTAGCTAAAAATTGCTGTATATGGCACCAATAAGCAGTTCTTAGTAAATGGAAGTAAGATATTCTTATCCACACTGTCCCAGCAGGAATGTCATATAGTGTTTGTTCCTCTGAATAAGTTCTTGAACATGCTGGGCAAAAACACCAGCCATGAATGTTTTATAAGAATGAAGAGAAGGGGGCTGGGGATTTAGCTCAGCGGCAAAAGCGCCTGCCTGGTAAGCACAAGGTCGTGAGTTCGGTTCCCGGTACCGGAGAAAAACCAAAAAAAAAAAAAAGAATGAAGAGAAGCTTTAATTCAGCATTCCTGGGCTGTACTTCATAGTCTTGTCCATAGCTTAAGCCAATTCTTTGTGATGTGAGATTAATATGTAAATTTCAAGCTTAAGTAATGAAGATTTGAACTGCATATTTCCCATAAGATCTTTGAGAAGTATGTTATAGTACAGACCTTGTTTACTCTACAGTCTGTTTACACTTCTGTTCAAATCTTCCCCCAGTGTTAGTGGCCTCATGCAGGAACTGGCAATGCCATGGCAGAGGTCCAGTGAAGAGGACTCACCCAGTGTCATTTGCTGTGGTGATAAGGGAGACTTAGTATGACCTCAGTAGGTGTTACCATGGCCAGACTCCTTCACCCTGACGTTCTAGTAACTTCTGTGTGCAGTTTTCCCAGTACTAGGGAGATTTTAGTGTACTGCTGTATGTTCTTTGTAATTGTGTTTTCCCGTGAGAATCACAGGCATGCAGCCATTGTAGTGCTTTTCTTTTCTCTTTTAGCACCCACATGCAAGATCTACAGGAAGTGACCCAGGACCTTCACTATGAAAACTTCCGTTCGGAGAGGCTTAAGAGAGGCGGCAGGTTGTTACACTATCCCCGCTCTTCTGTATCATGTTACCTCAAGCTGTGTTCTCTCCTCTTCTGTGTGTCCAGCTCAGCCTTTTTTTAAATTATTGTTTTTACTTTTTTATTCTTGTTGGGAGACAAGGTGTAGCTTAGGCTGACCTCAAATTTGCAATCTTTCCGCCTCAGGCTGTAGAGTGCTGGGATAACAGGCATATGCTATCCTATCCAGCTTTTAGTTTGTTTGTTTAGGTTTGATTTCTTCAGACAGTGCCTTGCTGTGTAGCTCAGGGGCCCTTGAACTCACTGTGTAGTCTGGGGTGGCCTTTTGTATCAGTCTCCCAGAGTGTTGGTAGTATAGGCATGTACCACCATACTTGGCTTCAGCTTAGCCTTCTTGACCACTAAGCAACTACTTTAAAAGTTGCCTTCCTAGCCCACCATGGTGGTGTATACCTGTATTCCCAGCACTCGGGAGGCTGAGGCAGGAGGACCACTTTGAGTTTCCGGCTAGCTTGAAACCCTGCTCAAAAAAAGTGAGCTTCCTCCTCAGAACCTGAGAGAAGAAAGTTGCTGTTTGTGAAATCATGTTTTTGTAGCCTTTAAAACAATTACTCTATAATGTGCACATGAAAAATAGCTGAATAAGAAGGCCAGAGGCTCGTATTAGAACATCTCCGAAGGTATCCCTCTGTCCGAATGACAAACATGTTTGCCATTAAGAACCATAGCTCCCCGGGAAAGGGTGAGGCCACTGTGGGTGTCATCAGAACAGGAGCTCTGCAGAATTGTAGTGCCACCCTCTTTCACCTTTTCTCATATATAAATAGAGGGAGACCAGTTCTCAACTTTATAATTCAGATTGGTGTTGAACTCATTATACAGCCCAGGCTGGCCTTGAATTTGTGGAAATCCTCCTACCTTAGCTTCCTAAGTACTGGCATTGTGGACATGTATCCTTCTCCTAATACATTTTTATGTGGTATCTGTGGGGTTTTTTGCAGGGGGTGTTTTTGAGGTGGGGTCTCACAGTGCTGTTCAGGCTGGCCTTGAACTCACTTTGTAGCTCAGGCTGGCCTCAAACTTCAATAGATTTGTGGATATGACTGAGGTAAACATTAAAGTCTAGCTTGCCAGGCACAATGACCCATGCTTGTAATCTCAGCAAAAGGAAGGAGGATTATAAGTGCCAGGTTATCTGGGCATGGTGGCATATACCTGTAATCCCAACCCTCAGGAGGTTGAAGCAGCAGGATAAAGTTCGAGGCCAGCCTGAACTACATAGTGAGACCCTGACTCAGAAACACTGAAAACACAAACAAACCAGAAATTCAGGGTTTGCGGGAGGTGCTATCTTAAAATGAAATAAAAAGGGGCTGAGGGTATAGCTCAGTTAGCTCTGTGGCACAGGGCCTGGGTTCAGTCTCTGTATGCATTTACTGTGTTAATTTGGGACCTAGAGGTTAAGAACTGGTTGCAGGCAGGCAAGCAGCAGTCTGCCAGGAATGGCCTTCTGTGCACTGCAGTCCGGTGTGCATTGGGAGCACTCTGTCTGCAGGGCTGGGCTCCTCACTCACTTGGGCCCTGCTTCTCCAGTGCACATTTGTTCTGCAGTCCTGAGAGTGAGAGTAACAAAAGAGCGCTGTCCAAGCATCAGAATACAGGAAGTCTCCTGACTTTATTAAGTCTGCGGGATTTGTCCTTTTTCTTCATTCTGTTCCCTTTTTTAAAAATTTTATTTCGTTTTATTTTGTCTGTTCCCTTACTCATTTTGTCTTCAGTTACAAAATAAAAATTGTAGTATTAAACAGATGCTTCTCAGAATTCTCAAGTAAATATTTTCCTCTAGTTGTCAGTAATCAGAACATATTTGTTGCAGTATTGTAATTACAGTTTCTTCCTACTTGTAGGAAAGTAGAGAATGAGGATATGAATAAAGATCAGATCCTGCTGGAAAAGGAAGCTGAGGTAAGTAGAAAAGTATTTTTCTTATGACTAAAGCTGATTGGTTTATGTCTGAAAACAGTTTGTATATCACTTCTGATGGTTTTTCTTCCTTAATTTTTTGAGAAGAAATGGAGATAACTGTATGCAATAATATACATGTTTTACATATATTACCTCACTTAACCTCCAGTAGCAGTTTAGCTAAAAAACTTGGGAAAAGACTTTCGTAATGTTACTAATCATTTGCCCCGTACATAGATAATAAGCAGTTGAAAAATAGTGAAACTGCCATTTGCATCCATTACCAAAAATTTGAGATGAAATATGTAGGGCTTATATGGAGGGACAAATTAGAAAACTACTGAAAATATTTTTTAAAGATTATAGTAGGCCAGAGTTGGTGGTACACGGTTGTAATCCCTGTACTCAGTAGACTGAGGTAGGGGGATCATGAATTGTAGGCCACCTGGGGCCATATTGTGAGTTCAGGCTCTTTCAGGACTACATTGTGAAACCCTGTCTTAAAAAATGAAATAAAAAAGATTACAGTAGACATGACATTGTAGGTGGGATTCAATTAAAGCTCACACTTCTTTAAATTTCTAGATTTAGTACAATTATAAAATTCCCAACAGGAATTGTATGTGGTTGCTCAGTATTTTTTCTTTCTTAATAATTCTATTTTAAGGAATAAGCACGGGAAACACAGGGGCAAGGCTTGCTTTACATGTTACAAAAATCCTCAAGAACATGGTCACATAGGCAGCCATCTAGGAGACAAGCAGTATTGATCAGGAGCACCCAGACCTGTTAAAGGAACTGGAGTGCAGATTGTCCAGTAGTGATGTGGCCACCAGGGATTAACTGGGTTAACTCACCATGGGTCACATATTTAAATGTTAAAGCCGTGGCCACAGGATTACCTGAAGATTATTTGTTTTTTGAGACAAGGTCTCCCTGTGTAGTTCAGGGTAGCTTTCAACTCACTATGTAGCCCAAGCTGCCCTTGAACTCACAGTGGTCCTCCTGCCTCAGCTTCCCAAGTGCTGAGATTACAGATACGCACTGCCATGCCCAGCTACCTGAAGAAAATTTGAGTAAATATTTCATAGTACTTTCCAGGTTGCCTCCCTGACACACACAAGCCATAGTGGTAAAAGTTGGTAAGGATAAACATACCTCATTGCCCTGCAGAAAAGCTCAGTCATTCTCTCTCGCTTCTCATTACCCACCAGGTAAACTCACTGTCTTTTGGGTTTAAAAAAATCTCATTTTCGTATTTTTCTTAATTATTGCTTCTGGTTATTTGTGTCTTATTTGACTTGCTTATTTTTATCATGTACCTGGTTTTCTATTGAGTCTTTTTACTGATCTGTAAGAATTCCTTGTATTTTAACATGTCATGTGTTAAAAAAGCAAAGAAGTTAAAATTTAATGGCTCACAGAACATCTGTAAATAATATTGAGGGACAACAAACTGAACACCAGTAATGTGCCCAATGTGCACTGTGTTTCCAGCTCCGCCGCATGCAAGAGATGATCGCAAGGATGCAGGCGCAGATGCAGATGCAGATGCAGGGTGGTGATGGCGATAGTGGGGCTCTTGGGCACCATGTGTGAGGTGTGTGCGTGAACACGTAAGTCAGAGACAGTCACTGGGGCTGTCGGGCACCACGTGGGAAGTGAGTTTGCAGACTAGCAAGTCTCTGAGATTGATCTTGGTGTCTATCAGCCTGGAAATTGTGCAGTTGGTACTGGGGGTTCCCATTTTGGCTCAACTTGAATGTGACAGGCTCCTCCTGAAGTCGTACTGGTGGTTGGCATTTTTCAGGCTCTGTCATTAACCACATTACTATCTTGAACTCAGAAGGGATTGCTCCTAAAAGGCAGAAATTACTTCTCAGATGCCACTGTCTATCTAGCAAAGACTTTGCATGTTTTTGAAGCTTACGAATATGGACTCATACAAGAAGAAAATTTTACGATACTACCCTTAGTCATATAATTGGAAATTTGTTGATCCTGAAAATATCTCTTGATAGAAAATAAAAGATTAGAATTAGAACAATTAGTGGACATCAAAAATGACACCATGGAGGAGAATTAATAACAGATAGGGGGAGCTGGGGATTTAGCTCAGCGGCAAAAGCGCCTGCCTGGCAAGCGCAAGGTCATGAGTTCGGTTCCTGGTACTGGAGAAAAACCAAAAAAATAAAAAAAATAAAAAAAAAAAAAACAGATAAGGGAGGGTCACCTTGCTGACCTCTAGTTCCTTGGAGCAGCTCGGCTCCAATGAGTGACTCTCAAAAATTGCTAACCTGCCAGAAAAGAACTGTTGAGACCAGGAACTCTAGACCAGAAAGGCAAATGTCAGCTTTGCTTTGTCTTTGTCTGGGGCGGGTATGCTGAGCTATCAAAGTGACTACTCCCATCACCTCCCAGAGGAAAGCAGAGAATGATGGCAACTTCAGATGGGAGGGATGGGGGCCAATGCCATGCAGGAGATACGACCAAGGGTTGTGGTGGCAGAGATCTGTTGGGAAGCAAGGAACTAGGGAGAAGGTCTCCAGTGCAGTTCTAAGAACCTTGTTCTGGAGGCACCAGAGGGATCGGGATAGCAGGAAGGTGCCTTGGGCTTGGTGGCACACATGGCAGTGAGTGACACAGAAAGCAAGGAGTACAGAGGCCTCCATGACAGATGGACAGGGGTTCAGGAAGGACCTACAAGGCATGCTGGGGCATTGGTCTGCAAAACAGAGCCTCTGCCCTTAGAAGCTTACTGGGGTTGGTATAAGGGGAGGATCTGTTTAACCCCACCTGGTTCTCAAATGGCACATGGAAACCTTAGAAAAGTCTTGAAGGTGGGTGCTTAGTCCACATTGACCAATAAGGAAGTCAGTGCTGCTGCAGGAGTCTAAAATTCTTAGCCTGTGGTCACCTAATAGGTGACAGAGCCTCCTGATGCGAGAATTTGGCCAGGCGTGGTTCCTGCTGGGTAGAGTAAAATGAGGACTACTCAGGGGTAGACTTCTTTGAGCAGGAGGGAGTGATAGGTGCTTGCTCATTTTCTCTGATCTTACTTTTTGCTTGCTTTGCTTACTTGCTTACTTTCTCTGATCTTACTTTTTTTTTTTTTATTTAAGGCATTACAAAGGTTGTACTTTAGACATATAAAGTTAATGTTTATTTCTGTATACGTTCCAGTTTCACAGTGCTTCTAATTTCAGGTACCTCATAAATGACATTATGTTTTGTTTTGTTTTTCTAGGTAGCACTCCTGAATAAAAAGAATACATTCCAGTTGAATGTTAAGCTACAGATTTTCTTGAGATCCTTGGATGGGTGCCCACTCACATATATAGTACCTGTGCCTAAGAATTCAGTTTTTAAAATTTTTGATGGGTTTTCTTTTTTTGTATGATATACGTTTAACATTTGCATTTCATTGCTATGTTACACTTTATATTTTTTGAGATGAATGCGTTTTCATTTTCTGTCCTCTTAACTAACCACTAATGTTAGAATTGATTTCTGAGAATCAGTCAGCATGTATAGTGAATATTAGATTTTTTTTGATGTAGCTTCCTGATTTACATCTAGACCATGCAGGTTTAACCAGAGTGTTTCTGTGTGATGGACATGTACCTCTGACAGAAGGCTGTGTAGACTTGGTGCCAGGCCATTTGCTCACTAGGTCACACTGTGTGAACCTGTTACCTTCCTTGGTTTTCTTTTTGTGCAACACCTGAACCCTTCACTGCTACAGTTTAATACTGTTAATTTCTATGCACGGTTATCTTTCACCAAATAGAGCAGAATTTCTAATGCGACACTTGCTTATACATAAATAACTTTTTAATAAGTGTTTTAGGGGTCTATTTTAATGGTAAGTCATTTTTCAAACCTTTGCAGGAAACTTGACACAAGCACTTTTTATCATATTCTCCACAGTTACTGGTTATGCTGTGCTGCAGAGAAAACCAAAGCAGCTGTGAGCTCCAGTTTCATGTTGCAACGATTTTTTACATAATAAGTGTCAGTATACTATTTTTACACAACTAAATTAAGAAACAATTTTTAAAGAAACCAGCCTTTTCATATTTTATACTGCACTTTAATGTATTATCGGTAACTGCAGATGTGAAAATTGGAGTTCTTTGGTTGGCATACCCCCACTTCCAGACTGGTTACTGGGTAGTGTTCCTGCCAGAATGCCTTAGCTCCATGAAGCCCAGATGCCTGACAGGGTTTTGTGATTTGAACATCCCCTTGTTGTTCTTTTTTTTTTTTTTTTTTTTTTAAATAATTTGCTGTTGAAATGAAAAGAGCAATGGTCTTATTTTTTTGTGTTCAGACTGTCTCATTTGTTTTTAGCCCGTCGTTCCCTTCATTTTGCATAAGACACATTTCTCCATGTGGCCTATAGAGTGAAAGGCAATTTTGATCTGGGCTATAGGCTGGTAGCCAGGTGCCCATAGTTAAAACTGCACCTGATTTGTCTTCTCTGCACTGTGGCCTTGGCCTCACCTTCCTGCCCTTTCCCTCTTCACTGCTGGTGAGATACTCTGGAGTCATCTTTTTGCCATTTCTCCTAACCTTACAAAAGTAGACCACAGAAAGGAATGAAGAGTGAGGAAGACAGCAGTTGTGCTGGTTTAGTATTTTCGTTTTATTACAGTAGGAATTGCACTGAAGAAAAGGGTTGATTTGTGATGAGACACAGGGACTTGGGGGTTTTATTTTGTTTTGGCCAAAAAAACCCCATAGCGAGATGGTCAAGAAGGGTTACAAGGGTTGTGAAGAGCCAAAGGCTGTATGGTTAAGCTCATTGTGTGAAGTTTCTACAGAGAAAAGTATTCCTTGACTTTAGAGTACTCTCGTCCAAAGGCAGTTATTTGACTTGTATTAACTGCTTTAAAAAGCTGTAAGAAAGGAAAAAAAAAAAAACATTCTCAAGGTGTCAGTGTAAGCCCGGTGTATGTCTGAGTAGGTACTGCATGGGGCCCACAGGCACCTGATGACAGCCATGTGGGCTGGGCGGGATACCTGGTCACATTTCTAAATTCCCTTTTGTTTTGCTGTCCAAGTCTAAACATACACTTTTGCTAACTGTTCTTTTACTAAGAGATAATCTCTATCTATAGAAATGTATTTTTAAAACACTTACTTTACACAGCAATTTTGTATCCATTGAAACTAATCTTTATTCAATAAAGCACTGTTGCTTAGATATTGTTTTAGTAGTTCTAATTGTTTCTTGTTTTTTTTTTTTTTGTTTAAATATTTAATCTCACTGAAATAAAATTTCCAGTGGAGTTTTTTATAACTTGGGAAATGATTCTAAAAGCTCTATTAAGAGAAAGCCAAAACAGCAAAGAAATTTTTTGAAAAGGATAATCAATGAGGTGCTTTCTTTTATATAAAATACAAACTAAATTTAGAATTATCAAAAAGTTATTCAATATAAGATTAATAGCACAGAAAAAAGATTAATAACACAGAAAAAGTAGCTCAATATATTAGGAATTGTGCATATAATAAAAACTGTATTATTAATGAGTAAAATTTTGACTTTTAAATATGTTGTCTTGGAAGAATTGATTAAACATTTAGAGAAAATTTTATCATTTCTTCCTGTCTTACTTCCCAATAACTTTCAAGTACACTAAATAAATTCAGTAAATATGAATACTAGCAACTGTAGATGGCTATTAGCTGAACTCTCAGATGAGCCAATGACTTCTTGAGAATATAATGATACAATAACTGGTGAAGTGAAAAGGTCAGTTGCTTTAAGTACACAAACTTTTAACACATCTGTATTTCAAACGTGTTAATAGTACTTCATATGACAAAGGTGAGGGAGCCAACTACAACAAATATGGATGTTAACGCAACTATCCCTCTGCATCTTTGGGGCATTGGGTATGGAAACACCCCCCTCAAGATAAAACCTGCAGATGGTCAAGTCCTAGCACTGTGTGCGACTGTGGTAGCATGGAGCATGAAACGATCACTTGGAGAGACTTGGTCTGATACTCAGAGGCTCAGAGGGACTGTCCCAAGGAGAACACCCAAAGTTAGCGAATCTCAAAGCAGCAGCTGCAAACTGAGAACTCTGGCTTTTATTTGGAATACCAGGCGGTAGAGTAGGAAAAGCATAAGAAAAACAGCTTGGGTAAGAAACTGTACAAAGGCTAAGCAGTTTGTTGGGGCAAGGGAAAGTACAGTGGTTGGACACAACACGTTTTACTAGTCTAAACATCTTGTGGTTTTCAGCACATTATGTTGAGGGCCTACATGTTTTTCCCACAGGCCCCTTCATGATTTTAATCATCTTAATTTTTCATCCCTCTGGCCATCCCCAAATCCCTTATATAAAATGCTGGACTACTTTTGTATATGTCCATCCTCTTGCATAATTTAAATTTAGATTATTTATGAAACTTGCTATAAAAGTGTTATGTGAACAGGTGTTGTGCTGTATTTTAGGAAATAATGACAAGAAGAAAAGGCCTGTAAGTATTGAGTGCACACAGATACAATTTTTTAAATATTTTAATTCTTTAGTGTATGGAATTCACAGATCCGGAATCCTTGGATACAAAGGCTAACTGAGCTTAAGCAAGTGCTTAGATACAGAAATTAGTTAAAGAAATAACTTAAACCCAGTCAATCAGTCATGGTCATGGTCAAATCATGCTCGAATGATAACTGAAATGAAGAGAACTACAGAAAACGTCCATGGTTGTTAATGAAGAAATGCAAAATACTAAACCAGCTGTGATTTTCTAGCTATTCAGTTAGAAACATTTTTGCATAATGATGACACACTATTGTACAAAATAAAAAGATACAGGCATTTTATATAGGCTGTTAAAAAAATGTATGGGGTTGGAGACATAGTTCAGTGGTACATGCACCTTCCTGGCAAGCACAAGGTCCTGCATTTGATTCCAGCTACTAAAAAATAATATAATATAATATAGTATAATATAATGATCTAATCATTGGAGAAAGTAATTTTGGAAAAGAATAAGGGGATGGTGATATTTCTCGTATATATGCATAAAGTTTAAGAAACTATAATCCTTACGTTCCAGTTTTAGAATAGTCTCAAGTCCAAAACAGTCAAGCCTGCAAAACCAAAAAAATTCTTTTATTTTTGGCCTAAATGAATATTTCTTAAAATTTTCCATATCTTATCCACTTGCTTACCATGATAGAGAAAGCTGCCCTCTTCAACACTTCCATGATAAAACTCTTCTCACTATACCAGTCCAGGAACATCCATAATGACGAAGTCAGTAGCAGTCAATCCAAGTTACTACAAAGTCAGTGCAGTAGATTTTCCCCCAGTAGATCCATCTAAGCATTAGCATTCCTGCTGTCTTCCTCTCTGCTATCATTGCTAGTGCAAGTCTGAAGAGAGGCCACAGAACTAATTTATCTTCTGATGGAGTCCCCATTATCGCTTGTAGGAGAACTTCACAATACATTTAAAGGTACCCGGGCAAGGCACAGCGGTTGAGCTGGCATCTGCTTCCCTGCCCCTAGGGGAGGACACAGCACAAGGAGGGAGGCAGAGACAAGAGCCTGAGCCAAGGCGGGGGACAAGGCTCCCTGGGAAGCATACTGCACCTTCTCCATGTTTCTTGTTTTTTGATTAGTATATTTTTGTGATACATAATGAATATTTACTGTGGGGAGTTGGTACCTGTATACACAGAATCTTAATCCTTTTTATTTCCTCTTCTCCCCTCCTTCTGGTCTCCCTCTATCTTTAGATCCTCTTCCAATCTGGAAAAAGATTACCTCCCTATTTCCTATTATCTTTTATTTTGCTTTTTACATTATTTATACTTTGAGTTTCTCATATATGAGAGGAATCATATGATATTTAATATTTGTGTCTGATTTATTTCAATAAGCATTGTGATCGCAGGGTGCATCCATTTTCCTAATGACTAAAATTCATCTTTTTAAAAAATTTATCTTTCTTTGTGGCTCCATTGTAGTACTCCATTGTGTATACCACATTTTATTTATCCATTCTTCTGTTCACAGTATGTATGCCACTTCCAAGATTTAGCCCTTCTGAGTTGTGTTGGTATAAACATGGGTATACATGTATCACTGTAGTATGGTGTTCTTAAGTCTTTGTAGGAGATACCAGAAGAGTATGAATAGCTGGGTGGAATGGAATTGCTAGTTTTAGTGTTTTGAGGCATCTCCATACTGATTTCCATAGTGGTTGTACAAGTGTATATTCCTCCCAGCAATGAAGCATTCCTTCTTCCCATAACATTGCCAGCATTTGTTTTAAATTTTTTTTTTTTTTTTTTTTTTTTTTTAAGAGAGGGTCTCGCTATGTAGCCCAGGCTGGCCTCCAACTCACTGCTATCCTCTTGCCTTAGCCTCCCAAGTGCTGGCGTTACAGGTGTGCACCATCAAGCCTGGCTTGAGTCTCGATGGAAATTCTTTCTGGAATAAGATGGAATCTCAGTGTTGTTTTAATTTGCATCTGTAATGGCTAGACCTCCTGAACATTTCTTATGTACTCATTGGCCATTTGTATTACTGTGTTTTTGAAAGTGTGTGGCTTCTAGGAACATTCACAGCCACAACAGTGTTTGGGCATGAAATCAGGAAGAATGATTTGTATAAGTGACATCAGGACTGCTTAACTGTTGGAAAGCTCAGCCCAAAGAAAGTGAAAAGACTGGAATTAAGTGTTCAGACCATCCAGGAAGGTTCTGAGACACATCTGATAAAAATTAGCACCAATACGATTTCAGTGACACATATTCATCAATTAGAAAATGTAGCAACAACTACTAATTAATTGCAGATACAAATGAATGAGTGCACTGTATCTAAGAAGAAATTTCTAGTTATTTTCCTTGTTTGTGAGGAGAGATAGGAGAGCTTTACAACTTTATCAAAGGACACTAAAAACCTAGCTGCTATCCTCCTTTCGGTGCCTGGATGCCTCCAACCTGAGCCTCGGGCTGGCTGTGCATGTCTCTGTACTGACCTCCGCAGGCTTGAAAGGGCTCCTGGCCTTACAGCTGTTGTCAGTACTTCCTGAGCTGCACCAGGCCCCTGGGTAGTAAGTAGGGCTTTGCCACTTAGTTCTCTGCGTGTTTGTGGCCTCTATTCGTTCTCTGTTCTTCCGGGCTCCTTACCTCAGAACGGATGACAGTTAATTATGTCCCACTACCTTCATGGGGTCAGCAACCCAGCCTCTGTCCGAGGGCAAGTGTGCCACTTTAGGGTCTGTTCTCTGTGGCGAGGACAGTCCACTGGGCTCATGCCATGGGATGGTTGTCGCCAAAGCCGGGTTCTTTGTCCCTGGGACTGCTTGGTGTGAAAGCCTCTAGCGGTGGGGGACTGAAGACCTTCCCACAGGGCCGAGTCTCTGCCAGCATCCCCTACGTCCCCCTCCACATAGGTCAGGGGTCCTCCCGCCTTGTCTTGGTGGAAGACGGTCGGGCCTCCTTGGGAGGCCAGAGCACTGCCGGGAGTCAGCTTGAAGACATTTGCGACAGCTGTTATCAGCCAGCTTCGCCGGCACAGGGTGGGGTCCGCGAGCGTACTTTAGGGTTCAGTGAACCCCCTCAAGGAAGAGACGACTGTACTGCTGCGAGTCACAGGTGTGCAAGGCCCAGGATCTGGTCTCACGTTTCCGTTCCCAGTGGGGACGTCTAGGCCGGTCAGGGACCGCGGAGACTGCCTGGGTGCTGGGCAGCATCGCAGGCCTCTCCGCTCCGTCTTGTCTTCTCTACAGTATTCTTTCGCGACCATGCCATGGCTCCTGGTGTCGGTGGACCACAGGTCCGGCTAGACCCAGAAGGTGAGCCATGGGTGCGAGTTAGAAAGAGACAGGCGGCGAGAGGGAAGGGTGCCTGGGTGCTGAAGCGATTTCCCCTCGAGCCGAGGCCCCACCCATCGAACTGAAGTCCCGCCTGTCGGGCCGGGTCCTCTCTAGAGCTAAGGCCACGCCCAGCGAAGTTCTCCGCCCATCAGGCCCAGTACTAGGTGAGCGGAGGCCACGCCCAGAGAACGTTCGCTCATCCATCCCAGCCTGCCAGGAGTTGCCCCGCCTAGCGAGCCTAGACCCCGCCCAGAGAACGTTTTTCCGCCCCCAGACCCAGTTAGCGGAGAGAGTCGAAGCTCCGCCCAGCACACCCAGTCACTGCACAGATTTGCACTGACTTCATTGTCCTCCCCAAACTCCGCCCTATCTCCGTCGTTCACCAATCACGGGGGAGGTTCTGCCCCCGTGCACCACAGGCCAATCAACGGCGCGTCCGCGGCGAGGGCGGGGTCGCGTCGGGCGCGCGGCGCGGGGGC